GAAAGACAAATACCATATGATACCACTTATATGTGGAATCTAAAATATGACACAAATGAACCTCTCTACGAAGCAGAAACAGAGTTACCACAGGAGAACAGACTTGTGGTTGCCAAGGGGGACAGGCGTGGGAGAGGGATGGATTAGGAGTTCGGGATTAGTAGATGCAAACTATTACATATAGAATGGACGGACGAGCTCCTACTGTATAGCACAGGGAATTATATTCAATGTCCTGGGATAAACCATAATGGAAAAGAATATAAAAAAGAATGTATATATATGGGTAACTGTACTTTACTGTACAGCAGAAATTAGCACAACATTGTAAATCAACTATACTTCAGTAAAAAAAAAAAACATAAAACAACATTTCTTTCCATTCTACCTTCCCTCTCTGTCCTTTTCTCAAATCTTTTTTTTTTTGGTTGCACTGTGCAGAATGTGGGATCTTAGTTCTCTGGCCAGGGATTGAACCCATGCCCCCCTCAGTGGAAGCACAGAGTCTTAACCACTGGACTGCCAGGGAAGTCCCTCCTTTTCCCAGTTCTTACACCATGAAGGTCTTTATGATTCTTTTGCCTTGCTCTGGCCTCGAAAGACAATGCCACTATTCACATATCTCAGGCCATTGCAAAGGGGGATAATCAAACCTCCAAATGACTGTTAGACTTGCCATGCTGCTGGGGATCCTATAGTTCTACCCATCACAAACTTCCCCCTAATTTTTTTTTAATTAATGAATTTATTTATTTTTGGCTGCATTGGGTCTTTATTGCTGTGTGTGGGCTTTCTCAAGATGAGGTGAGCGGGGGCTACTCTTCACTGAGGTGCATGGACTTCTCATTGCGGGGGCTTCTTTTTGTTGTTGATGTTGTTGTTGCAGAGCACGGACCCTAGGCGCACGGGCTTCAGTAGTTGCAGCACGTGGGCTCAGTAGTTGTGGCTTGCGGGCTCTAGAGCACAGGGTCAGTAGTTCTGGTGCACGGGCTTAGTTGCTCCACGGCATGTGGGATCTTCCCAGACCAGGGATCGAACCTGTGTCCCCGGAATTGACAGGCGGATTCTTAACCACTGCGCCACCAGGGAAGTCCCCTCCCTGACTTCTAATGCCTCAGTTTCTCTGGAACAAACTTAGCTCCCTCTCTATTGTGTCAGACTCCCTAGCCCTGGGGTCCATTTCCCTGACTCTGGTTAACAACCCCGAACCTGGGGAAACTTGCATCCAGGCTTCATACAAAGACACAAGATAAGGGTAACCAGAATAAAACTGCCTGTGCAGTCTACAGACCTTAAATTTTACTGGTTGTCACCTTTCCAGTCTCAAGTCATAGAGTTATACAAAGATTACTAGGAAGCATCATGATTCAAACTTTGCTTCCGTTGGTAGATCCCTACTGCCCAGGCTAAGAGTAAGTACAAATGAGGCTATGATCAAGGATCTCTCCTTAACTCTTGAAGATATCACAGAATCTGCTGCTAAAGCAATATCTGCCCAACAAAACTCGCTAGACTCTCTGGTCAAAGTTGTTCTTGATAATAGGAGAGTCCCTGACTATCTTTTGCTGAGCAGGGAGGTAATTGCGCTGTAGCCCATACCACTTGCTACACTTGGACTGACACTTCTGGGAAAGTTGAGACTCAGTCACATAAGACCATTGGATAAGCCAGTTGACTTTAAAAAGTGACTCCTTCTGGACTTCCTTGGTGGTCCAGTGGTTAAGAATCCACCTTCCAATGCAGGGGATGTGGGTTCGAGCCCTGGTCAGGGAACTAAGATCCCACGTGCCGCAGGGCAACTAAGCCTGCACGCCACAACTAGAAAAGCCTGCACGCCGCAATTAAGACCCAACGCAAAGGGTGAGCTGTGACAGGGCGAGAGAGAGTCATGGACATATACACACTAACAAACGTAAGGTAGCTAGCTAGTGGGAAGCAGCCGCATGGCACAGGGATATCGGCTCGGTGCTTTGTGACCGCCTGGAGGGGTGGGATATGGAGGGTGGGAGGGAGGGAGACGCAAGAAGGAAGAGATATGGGAACATATATATATGTATAACTGATTCACTTTGTTATAAAGCAGAAACTAACACACCATTGTAAAGCAATTATACCCCAATAAAGACGTTAAAAAAAAAAAAAAGACCCAACGCAGCCATAAATAAATAGGTAGATAAATATTTTTTTAAAAGTAACTCCTTCAACAGGGTCTTTGACGTACATGATTCTGATTGGTTTGGGTCTTGGGGACCGTGGCTCTCAAATGCACTCCAGACACTCCTGATTATAAAAATCATAGTTGTCTCCAGGTGTACTGTATTTTCTCAGAAGTTGTTTTTTTTTTAATTTATTTTTGGCTTCTTTTGGGTCTTTGTTGCTGCACGTGGGCTTTTCTCTGGTTGCTACTCTTCATTGTGGTGTGCAGGCTTCTCATTGCAGTGGTTTCTCTTGTTGGGAGCATGGGCTCTAGGCGCACGGGCTTCAGTAGTTGTGGTGCATGGGCTTCAGTAGTTGAGCCTCACGGGCTCTAGAGCGCAGGCTCAGTAGTTGTGGCACACGGGCTTAGTTGCTCCACGGCATGTGGGATCTTCCCGGACCAGGGATAGAACCCGTGTCTCCTGCATTGGCAGGTGGATTCTTAACCACGGCGCCATCAGGGAAGCCCTCAAAAGTTTTAAATGCATATTTGCAACTGCTAACCACCAAGCTGATGATTTCCCTAAGACTAGAATCTCAGAAGAGGATCAAAGAGAAAGACCGACTTAAAGAAAGTGAACACGATACAGCATTGTCAACTGTGAATAAATACCACACAGAGACTCAGCAAAAACTTTGAGAATTCCAGAGTTTAGTTTGGAGTAGCACTAAAGCCTGAACAATTCTTTTATTTTTTAAATCACATCTCTCAGGCTGAGAGTCTGATCAAAACGAGGCATTGTTTAAAACAAGACAACAGGGACTTCCCATTTCTGGGGGCCTAGAGTGGAAGCATCTGGGAGCGGCTGTTTCCCTCTAGGTTATTCCTTCTTCAGCTGTCTGGAGGGCACCAATACCTCTCCTGAAATACTAGGGCGAAAACTATTTCCTGATTTTCTAATTCTACAGAATGTTCTGTATTTATGTGTAACTTAGACAAAAAAGGGGGGGGGAGCTAGTGAGGGAAAATGGGAAGATGTAGATCTTGTATAACTAGTATTAGCCTACCCAGTTAACCAAATCTCGAGGTGAACTGAATCATCCAGAGAACTTGTTTGCAAGTAACAGATGCATCCAACTGGCAGCACATTCCTTGAGGAATTCAGTGAGCCCAGAGGGTAGAAGCAGAATGCATGAAACTATTTGAGGGTCTGCCCTTATTATATTTCCAATAGGTTTGCCTTGATTGCTTATTCTTCCTGCCAAAACGATCATGCGGGTAAGATGTTTATTACTGCTAAAGAGATCTAGACATGCTTTACATTGACATGATGAACCACAATCCCTTTCCTTCTGTGCCAGCTTTATCTTTTTTGTCATTAAGTTCTATGTTGGTCATCAATGAAACTGCAGGTTGACAGAGTACAGTTTGATCTGAGAGGTTAGTAAAAACTCTTGGTTTCAGATTGGCCTGAGTATGAAGCCAGAGAATTGTAGGAATGTCAGCAATAGATGGGGACAGAGGTCAGTCCCCGAGAGACAGGATGATCTGGCCACCAGAATGTACTCTCCACAAAGACAAAGATTTGTGTCTCTTTTGTACACTGATATATTCCAAATGCCTAAAGCAGTGCCTGGTGTGTAGTAGGTGCTCAATAAACCATGGTGGAGAGGCTGAGAGGATGGGTCAGTGAGAACATTAGCATTTCAAGGCAGGGAAAGAAGGTTGGCTAGTGTGGATGTGGGGTGGAAATAGAAAATGTAGGATGGTGAAGAAGGCACAAGGGCTTTCAGGACATAAAAAAGTGACAATGGATTGGGGGCATATTACTTAGGGCCTGAGATCTGAAAGGGAACCGGTGCAGGGAGAGAGAAGCACTAACAAGATGTGCTTAGCTATGTTAGATCGTCACTTCTGTCGATGTGCAGGATAAGAAAAACTGAATGATAAACTAGAGGTACTGGTAATAATCCCATTTGTCTTTCAAGACAGCTCAGATGGCAGCTCCTTCTGAAGGCCTTTGCTGAGGGGTCAGCCCTGAAGTGAACAGTTTTCCTCTATTAGTTATTAGTGTATGTGTCTTACACCTTTCTTAGGGTAAATTTCAAGAAAGTCAAGCCTGTCCTGTAGCTAGTTAAATGGCAGGAAGGGAAACTGAACCCTCCAAGTCCAAAAACACTCAGATTTGGCCGTGAAAAATGACTTGGAAACAAGCGACTCGGGCTTATGCTTTGGTAGTAAATCTCTTTCTTTACCCTTATCTCTGGCAAATACACATGACCTTTCTGTTAATTGCAAATGAATGCTCTGTTAATTGCCTATTCATAGCCTTTGACCATTTTTCTACTGGGTTGTTTTTAAGAATCTATATATTCCAGATACTGAACTTTGTTGGTTTTATTTCTTGCAAATATATTCTTCCTGTTTGTATCTCGTCTTACTTTTTTCTTATTTTTGAAGGTAACTGTCATGCCTATACTCTATACAGTTAGTAGATGGTAAGCTCTTTGAAAGCAAGGGATAGATGTCCTGATTTTCTCATTTTCTAGGAAGCGCCTTTATCTTTTACTGCTTACAAAATGCTTGTTAGGGCTTCCCTGGCGGCGCAGTAGTTAAGAATCAGCCTGCCAATGCAGGGGACACGAGTTCGAGCCCTGGTCCGGGAAGATCCCACATGCCGTGGAGCAACTAAGCCCGTGCACTGCAGCTACTGAGCCTGTGTGCCTAGAGCCCGTGCTCCGCAACAAGAGAAGCCACCGCAATGCACCATAACGAAGAGTAGCCCCCCACTCGCTGCAACTAGAGAAAGCTTGCACACAGCAACGAAGACTCAATGCAGCCAAAAATAAATAATTTTTAAAAACTGCTTGTTAATGTTGGTAAGTGAAAAAAATATATATATTGGGCTTCCCTGGTGGCGCAGTGGTTGGCAGTCCGCCTGCCGATGCAGGGGACGCGGGTTCGTGCCCTGGTCTGGGGGGATCCCGCGTGCCGCGGAACGGCTGGGCCCGTGAGCCATGGCCGCTGGGCCTGTGCGTCCAGAGCCTGTGCTCCGCAGCGGGAGAGGCCACAGCAGTGAGAGGCCCGCGTACCACACACACACACACACACAAAAAATATATATATATACATATATATATTTTTAAAAATATGTAGGTAAGGAGTAAGCCAAGAGAATAAAAACTGACAAAGCAGTATTTAGTAAACACTGATGTGACTAATGCAAAGATAAATCACAAAGAAAATGCATATCAGAGATTAATATACTCACATCGCTCTCAGTAGCGTTCAGTCCATGAGTTGATAAGAAAGGGGGGTGGGAATTTGTTGAGGCAGGCTCAGGAATTCCTTTCCATTTTCCCAGGCAGCGTCAGAAGCAGATATATCACTTCTGTAGCATTTAAATCCTCATCAAATTTATATTCCACCAAATCTGAGTTTATGGAGTCTGAAACGCCAGGACCAAGCTTGGAAATGCTCTATTTTGGCAAGCGCCAAAAGCTTGCCTGAAGCTTACACGTGGCTGAAGCTTACACGTGGCTGAATTTAAGCCAGTAGGCGCTGCCTACACCAGGTGTGGTTAATACTGAAAGCAGGGCAAGAACTGAAGCTTCACACATCCCTTTCTAGTTAATTTTCTTCAAACAATAGCGAAAAAAGTTGCAGGTGCATTCTCTCCCAGCTCCACCCACAGTCGCTGCTGTTCAGAGTTCTTAAGGTATGAAATTGTGGCACCAATTTTTGGGAGAACGGTGGTGGTAAACTTCCTTTCTCTAGTACTCCTCCCCACGCCCTATACGTTGTTGCATAGATTTATCTATGTCTATATATTTTTAGATTATTCCAGCTTCACCACTTAGTATGCACATTTGGGTAACTGCTTAAGGTTTCTGTGCTTGTTTTCCCATCCATAATATGAGGATACTAATTCTGTTTACCTCATAGGGTTGCTGTGACAACTGAAAAAGAATACAAAGCACTTAGAACAGTGCCTAGCACGTAGTTAGCACCCTTTACATGCTGTTATTGCAAAAGTAAAGCAGGTTCGTTCTAACAACTTTATTAACACAAAGGAGGTCCAAGAAAAAGTTCACCTTTCCCCTCTGCCTCTACCCTCTTGCCATCTCTTACTTACCTAAGGAAACTAGTAACGGTTTCACGTGATCATTCCACATCTTTTATTCCCCTCATACCAATATACTGCAAATCTACCTATATATATGGAGTTAATAAAAGTGGATTCACATTCACTCATTTTATCATTTAACGATATATCCTGGATATCTTTCAGGGTGACTATGTGTAGCTAACTCATTCTTGTTAAGAGCAAATATTCTGTAGTATGTGTGTATCGTAATATATTCAAATGTGCTCCAGAAATAGATAATCGGGGTTATATCTAATTTTTGCCAATGACTAGAATGGTTCAGTACACATCCTTGCTCTTCCATCCTGATGCTTTCAGTCTGTAGGACAGATTCCCCAAAGTTGAACAACTAGATCAAAGATTTATGTGACTTTAAAATGTTTAAAGATTCAGCCTGATTACCTTCCCCAAATGCTGAGGCAACTCATATTCCCACCAGCAACGTGCCAGTTTTCCTGAAATCTTTTTTTTTTTAATTTACCTCACCCTTCCCCGCCTCCTCCATCATCTTTTTTTTTTTTTAATTTATTTATTTTTTGGCTGTGTTGGGTCTTCGTTTCTGTGCGAGGGCTTTCTCTAGTTGCAGCGAGCGGAGGCCACTCTTCATCGCGATGCGCGGGCCTCTCACTGTCGTGGCCTCTCTTGTTGCGGAGCACAGGCTCCAGATGCGCAGGCTCAGTAGTTGTGGCTCACGGGCCTAGTTGCTCCGCGGCATGTGGGATCTTCCCAGACCAGGGCTCGAACCCGTGTCCCCTGCAGTGGCAGACAGATCCTCAACCACTGTGCCACCAGGGAAGCCCTTCCTGAAATCTTAAATTGCCCTTGATGTTATTTGTCTTAAATTGTTTTGCCAACTGATCGGTAAATAATGTCTCATTTTATTTTTATTTTATTTATTTTTTTGCTACACCACGTCGCGTGTGGGATCTTAGTTCCCTGAGCAGAGATCAAACCCGTGCCCACTGCAGTGGAAGTGTGGAGTCTTAACCACTGGACCAGCAGGGAAGTCCCATGATGCCTTATTTTAATTTGCTTTTCCTTGCAGGCCTGACAGGGCACGTTCTCATTTGTTTATTGTTGTTTGCAATTTCCTTCCCTGAATCATATCCTTGACTTTTTCTTCTACTGCATTGTCTTTTCCTAATTATTTGTAGGCATTCTTTAGGATGTTAACTCTTTGTGATGAGTTCTGGATATCTTCTCCTGATTGTCTTTTGCTTCTGTTTATGGGACCTTTTGTTAAATACAAATTTTTGATGTTTATGTGGCTTTATCTCTCAGGCTTTTCCTTCATGGTTTCTGAATCTCTAGTCTTTCTTAAAAGGTAGCCTCTGTCCAGAGGTTATACAAATTCTCCCTTTCATCCCATACTATTCTTTTTTTTTTTTTTAAAGGTTTTTAAAATAACATTTATGGGGCTTCCCTGGTGGCGCAGTGGTTGAGAGTCCGCCTGCCGATGCAGGGGACACGGGTTCGTGCCCCGGTCCGGGAGGATCCCACATGCCGTGGAGCGGCTGGGCCTGCGCGTCCGGAGCCTGTGCTCTGCAATGGGAGAGGCCACAACAGTAAGAGGCCCGCGTACCACAAAAAAAAAAAACCCAAAACAAAACAAAAAATAACATTTATGTCTTAAAAGTTAACATGTGCATAACAGGAAACCAAAAATCATTAGAAGCAAAAAACAAAGTTATCCATAATCACAAATAGTTTACTGTTTGATGTGTCCTTCTAGGTCTTGTTTATGTAGGTAGCTACACAACTAAGCATCCATTTTTATGTAAATAAGACCATACACGAATATCTACCATTTCAAAGTCCCAAAGCTATGAGTATTTTCACAGCCAAGAATACACTATACCAACTCAGTCTGGAAGGGAAAAATGTAATCCTGCCTTTCTTGGCGACAAAAATTTCATAAAAGACAAAAATGGCAACAGGCCTCTAGATAAAGATATTGGCAAGAGTTATGATTAAAATACTGCAATCCCTTAATGTTCAATTAAAAATGAGACATAAAGCAACAGAGTGCACAAAGCATCCTATACTATTCTTTTTTTTTTTGGTGGGTTTTTTTTTTTTATTTTTTTATACAGCAGGTTCTTATTAGTCATCAATTTTATACACATCAGTGTATACATGTCAATCCCAATCGCCCAATTCATCACACCACCACCACCACCCCCCACCGCTTTCCCCCCTTGATGTCCATACGTTTGTTCTCTACATCTGTGTTTCAATTTCTGCCCTGCAAACTGGTTCATCTGTACCATTTTTCTAGGTTCCACATATATGCGTTAATATACGATATTTGTTTTTCTCTTTCTGACTTACTTGACTCTGTATGACAGTCTCTAGATCCATCCACGTCTCAACAAATGACCCAATTTTGTTCCTTTTTATGGCTGAGTAATATTCCATTGTATATATGTACCACATCTTCTTTATCCATTCATCTGTCGATGGGCATTTAGGTTGCTTCCATGTCCTGGCTATTGTAAATAATGCTACTATGAACATTGGGGTGCATGTGTTTTTTTGAATTATGGTTTCCTCAGGGATATATGCCCAGTAGTGGGATTGCTGTGTCATATGGTAATTCTATTTTTAGTTTTTTAAGGAACCTCCATACTGTTCTCCATAGTGGCTGTATCAATTTACATTCCCACCAACAGTGCAAGAGGGTTCCCTATCCCATACTATTCTAATAGTTTTATTTTTTAAAATGTAGATCTTTAATCTGCCAGCAAATTGTTGCTGTATGTGGTGTGTTAGTGGGATAGTTAAAACCCAAAACTTTAATACAATAGACACACTGAAAAGCGCACAAGTTCTAAGTGAATTTTCACAAACGGAACACACACTTGTGTAATCTGCACCCAGATCGAGAAATAGAATACGGCCAGCACCCCAAAAGCCCATTTGTCCCTTTCTAGTCACTATCCCCTGATGGAGGGTAACTGCTATACTGACTTCTAACACCTTACATTAGTTTTCTAAGGGGATAATTTTATTTTCATGCAGATGGCTGCTTAAGTATGCCAACACCATTTATTAAATTAGCCACTGTTTTCCCAGTGAGTTAAAATGCCTCCTTTGATTGTTGGTACTTATAAGGAGAAAATACATTTTTTGATGCAGTGGATGGACTGCATAACCCAAGGTCTAACAAAGTCACGTCTTCCATTATGGCTCCCAGTCGGGCTCACCTGTAGCCAGAGCTTTGCTGGTTGGTGACTGATTTTCTCCATGTTCCTTGCGTGTGTCTAAATAGTTAGAAAAGCACTGATCCTACTGGCCCACTCAGAGAGGACATCCTTCAACTATGCCATGAAGGAGGCCGCCGTAGAGGCTTTGAAGAGGAAAGGATGGGAGGTCACTGTGTCAGACCTGTATGCCATGAACTTCAATCCCGTCATCTCCAGAAACAACATCACAGGTGGGAGCAGCTCTCCCCTTTAATTAGGTCTTTGTGGAACTTCTCGCCTGTGGGTTCTCTGGCCCCACGTTGGCCCCTCTGGCGACAGCCTCTCTTTTTCCTCTCTGCAGGTAAACTGGAGGACCCCAGGAACTCTCAGTATCCTGCCGAGTCTGTTCTAGCTTATAAAGAAGGCTGTCTGAGCCCAGATATTGTGGCGGAACAAAAGAAGCTGCAAGCCACAGACCTTGTGATTTTTCAGGTGTGGTTAAGACATCAAAAGGGGTGTTGGGACACTTGCGTTCTTTTTGTCCTAGACCTGGCACCTAATTAGCTATGTAATCTTAGGAAAGTAACAGCCACTTGACCGCATTCTCTGTAGAGAAGGGTGATTACTTCAAAGGCGCAGTGTTACACAGATTTACAGATGTCGTGAATCTGGCTGTATTACTCTTTGAAAATATGACTGTGATGGCAGAGATGACATTTGAGCCTTGAGCTTTTTTTCCCTAGTATGTTTAATCTTTTTCTTCAGTTAGTTATTTCTTGTGGAATCACTCAAGTTTGCAATTCTCCCCCGCCCCCATCTCCATAAGCATCCTGAAAATAGTTTGTGGAGCTGCTATCTGGAGGATTTGGACTCCATAGAAAGTTCATTAATCCCTCTGAAGGGTCACTGAAAACGAGATACCTGAATTGGGCAGAGAATGATATTCATGTCCCCGTGGATACCCTGCAGAGAGTACATGGAGCCACTGCCACCAGTGGAGATGGAAAGCATTGCCTTCTTATTCTGTAAAAGAAAAGTCATTACCTTCCACATCTCCTTGGTGACAGGAAGTTACTGAAACAGCCCCAGGGGAAAGAACACAAAGGTCCCCCCTCCCATCTGTTGTTTATGTTACTTCATACATTGGCTCCTCTGAGCCTCATAGTATTGACTCTGCAGAAGTACCAGCCTGGAAGATGGTACACAGAGGGGCAGGCCCAGGATTCCATACTCCTGGATGTGGCAAATCAGGTGAAGGTTGTCATGGTAACACAAAAGCAGTGCTGACTGCTGGTGCCTAGGTGGAGTTATTTGTTGTTTTTTAGCTATCTCCGCACACTGCTAGGCATGTATCTAGGCTTGTAATCCAGGAGCTCTAAAAATGTTTCTTGTATAGTTTTGGGTGTCTGCAAAATGAAGACAGACTGACTTTTTTATTATGGACAATTTCAAACATACATAAAGAAGAGAAAATAGTATAGTGATGCATCCACCACCCAGCTTTAACTCTCAGTATCCCCTCACTCCTGTTTTTTCCTGGAGTATTTTAAAGAAAATCCTGAACATCATGTCAAAATATCTATGAAAATATCTATTAAAAATTTTGGGAGAGACATGCATCTCTCCCTAAGGGACCTGGAGCCTGATTTTGGTATCTAATTGTGCTCAAAACTCTGCCTCAGGACAGAATCTACCTAGAATCCAGGTGTTAGAAAAAGCAGAACCATCAACCTACCCGGAAAGGTCCCTTGTCATACACGGCAGCATACGAGTAAGCAAACTCCCCTATGAGCACTCATTCAAACCAGCCTTTCAGGATGGCAGGGACTCCAAACCACTGCAGGGGGAACTGTGGGGCAGAGGACAAAGAGGTCAGATGGGGAACACCCCCAAAATAGAAGACTTAGGGTGCTTAGCTGCTGCCCATGATGTCACCGAGGGGCGAACTTTCTTCAGGACCTGTCATCCCTTCTGGAGGAGTTAGCACATTCAAGAAAAGAAAATTTTAAAGAAAAGAAAATTATTGTCCTTGGTCAGTCAACTTGACACTCCTGTTTCTGCCTAAAAATACAAATATTGGGTGGGTGTGAAGAAACACATGCAATAAGATTTGCTTCTATGAAATCACGTTTGGCAGCCAAGTCTGAACAGCAAGGATTGCAGGCAAAGTTGGCTTCAGTGTGTGTTGCCTAAATCAATATTTTCCCAAGAGCTTGCTTTTGTGGGTGTGGTTTCAAAAATATGAAACCTGTACCTTGTGCTCACGGATTTAAAATCCTATCATTTAGGATAAACAGAACCACTCACATATGCAAACAAATGATCTGTGTGACTTAAGTTCATCAGGGCATTGCCATGAGAAAGACCTATTGGGCCTCTTGTCCTGGTAAAAGCTAAGCAAGGACATACCAGTATTTCTTCTTCTTGACTCACTTAAAGGCAGTAACAACAGGAACATGCCCAGAGGTTAAAAAACAAAACTAGGACAGAGAAATAATTTTTAGGACAGAGAAAGAATTTTTAAGACTTGATAGGTCTCTCTTTGAAGGGTGGTTGACCTACAGGAAAGGGGATAAGGAAGTAGAGTTTTAGGACACGACTGAGAATGAGACCTGTATTCTCACCCTGAATCTGCCAGTAATTTGCCTCATCAGTAAAAAGAGGGGCTTGAGGTATCTCTAGTAGCTTCTCACATTCTCACACTTATCATGCTCCAATTGTGAGGGGCCAGATCTGCAGCTTTTAGGATAAATGTGCAGGTTGTTTAGGCAAGTAGATTTGGTCCCTTGTGAATGTTCTACAGTCAGGGCTGAAAAAGAATTGGTTGGTTTGTCAGGTATTAAAAGTTTACTCTCTCAAGTTGTTCTTGGAGGGACTTCCCTGGTGGTGCATTGGTTAAGACTCCGCGCTCCCAATGCAGGGGGCCTGGGTTCGATCTCTGGTCAGGGAACTAGATCCCACACGCATGCCGCAACTAAGGGTGTGCATGCCGCAACTAAGGAGCCCGCCTGCTGCAACTAAGACCCAGCGAAACCAAATACATAAATAAATATTTTTTTAAAAAGGGCCACCTATAGGATTAGGGAATTAATATTAACATTGGAGAATAAATGGTAAGAATAATTTATTAAGACTTGTCTAGTAATGTGGGGAGGCAGAGAAATGCACATGTGCATGCCTTGGCAAGGGTCAGTTGCCAAGAAGCTGAAACTCACCCTTAGGTAATAGAACTTTGGGCACTTTTGGCAGAGAATGCCAGGCTGGCACAGTTTCAAGGTTTTCTTCATTCAAAGAAGAGCACAGCTGAATAGGCTAAAATAGGTAACAACTAGGTACAGAAAGCACAAGGTGAGAGGGTGGAGCTATGAACTAATTTTCCAGGGTGCCTCAGGCCTCCACATCAGAGTGACCTGTTGGGAAACCCAGATTAACTTTTGTTGTTTGTATATGGTACAAGGTCTGTGGGGTTTGATCTGTAACTCACCTCTGTGCTTTGTGTATCCCCAGAGTGGCACTCTGCATTTCTGTGGCTTCCAAATCTTGGAACCTCAACTGACATATAGCATTGGGCACACTCCCGAGGATGTCCGAATTCAGATCCTGGAAGGATGGAAGAAACGCCTGGAGAATATTTGGGATGAGATGCCACTGTATTTTGCTCCAAGTAGCCTCTTTGACCTAAACTTCTAGGCAGGATTCTTAATGAACAAGGAGGTACAGGATGAACAGAAAAATAAGAAATTTGGCCTTTCAGTGGGCCATCACTCGGGCAAGTCCATACCGACGGACAACCAGATCAAAGCCAGAAAATAAGATTCACAAGACTTGATTTCCTTCTAAAATATAGCCAAATCTAGACTTCTTTCTTGGGGTTCCTTGACTTGCTTTAGTTTTTAAGATATGTGTTTTTCTTTTGCCACAAAGAATGGATAGAACAGACTATATTCATATATTTTTGTATAGTTTTGTTAAACATAACCGATTCTGTTTTTTTTTTTAATTATTAATTTATTTATTTATGGCTGCGTTGGGTCTTCATTGCTGCATGTGGGCTTTCTCTAGTTGCAGCGAGTGGGGGCTATTCTTCGTTGCGGTGCACGGGCTTCTCATGTAGTGGCTTCTCTTGTGCAGCACAGGCCCTAGGCGCATGGGCTTCAGTAGTTGTGGCACATGGGCTCAGTAGTTGTGGCACGTGGGCTCTAGAGCGCAGGCTTAGTAGTGGCACACGGGCTTAGTTGCTCCGCAGCACGTGGGATCTTCCCGGACCAAGGCTTGAACCCACGTCCCCTGCATTGGCAGGCGGATTCTTAGCCAGTATGCCACCAGGGAAGTCCCAAATGTAACCAACTGCTATCATGGCAAAATCTGATTAGGCTCAAAAGGCCTCTCAGGCTTAGGACGTAAAGCCGGAGAGAAGGGTGTAGAAAGATCCCAGACAGTATTCTTTAAGGTCCTCTACACAATTTAATTCCTCTCTTTAGAGATACATTTTTAGGAATAAATCTGGCTAGAGAGCATCCAACTCCTCAAATGATCTATTTTTCTTTTAATTACCTCTCTGTGGTTTATGGCAGAAGGGAATTGCTCAGAGAAAGAAATGACGAAATCTGTCTGACCTAAGGGACTTGTTTAGTAATTACTACTCTCTGCTTGTTTGTGAGATATATTGCCTTTAATTACTACACAATGACTATTATGCCTAATACGAGTGTCATTCTCCTTCAGCTTTTGTTGTTTCTATACAGTGCACACAGACACCTTGAAATGAAAAGCTAAAAAAAACCTCTTTACTTCAATCTTCTAATTTAATGTCTGCAAATAAACCAACACCTCTAAACACTACATCTGCTACAATGAATGAATTCACGAAAGGAAACAGTACTCCCAGTATCTAAAAACAGCTTGCCACAAACAGTACTTTATTTCAGATCCATGTAACTAACCTTCTGGAAGTTTTTCCTGTATCATTGATAAACTGATGACTTGCCTTTTAAGGATGTGTTTTGGTTTCATGAATTTAGGGACAAAATTGTGAGCCTAGAGTTTCATTAACTTTGGTGAACAATTTTGGCGTAACATTCTAACTTCGTATTTAAATGATTGAGGTGCACCTCTACTCGCTGTTGGTATAACCTAAGTAGAAAATGATGAAAGAACGCCCTCTTGTGGTGCATAGAAAGAAAACATGAGAAAATGATGCAAAGCAAGGTTGCATGAAACTGGCAACAGCCTCTTACCTGCCAAGGAAATGATGGCGTCAGGATGGAGAACCTCATGTGCCAGATGCCAGCAGGCACTGGGTATTCTTTCCACAATATCCACAATGGCAGATGGCTGGGTGCTTCAGTTTGAAAACATATGAAAATATTTACTGTTGCCTTCATCTTCACTGCAGTTTTATGTAAATTTCTAAAAGTTCCAAATGAAATAAATAAAATCCATTTCTACAAAACAGACCCACACTCACTGGTTTCAGAGAAGCTAGTGACAGAGGCATTCAGGCAAAAGTGGAATCTACTGGGCAAGAAGCAATCAGAGGATTCAGTGATAAATTGTGGCCAGAAGCCTATGTGGTGACTTGGCTTGAGAGCTTGCCCAATAGGGCTGCTTCATTCTGAATGGCAAGGGAACCTACTAAGATTCTCTCAGGGAATTTAAAGGACATTTAAGGAGATCCAGGAAAGAGAGTGGTATAGAAATCAAGAAAAACACAGAATGCAATAAACAAATGCCAAGGAGCAATATTTATTCTGATTTCCCTGATTTATTCTGATTTATCTAATCAATGGGCCAGGCATTCTTCTAGAGGCACTGGGAATACAGCAGACAAAAAACCTAGCCTCATGAAGTTTGCATTCTAGTAAAGAATGAGAGAAGAACAAATGTCAGTCAGGTGGTGATAAATGCTAGGAAGGAAGAGCAGGGTAAGAGGGTTAGAGATGGGATACGAGTTTTATACAGGGTGATCAAGAAAGATCTCTCCTATAAGGTTATATTTGGGCAAAACCCTGATAAAGTGAGAGAATGATACATGTAGGTCCCTGAAGGAAGAGCATGCCAGGAGTGATGTGAGTGCAAACCCACGAGGCAGCAGCATGATCAGTATGCTTTAGGGAGAGCAAGGAAGTTAGTGTGACTAAAGCACAGAAAGCAAGAGAGGGATAGGTCAGACACAAAGCTGGAATCAGACCACAAAGGGCATTACAAGCATTGTGAAATGTAGAGATAGGAAGTCACTAGAGGGTTTTGAGCAGAGGTGTAACATATGACTTACATTTAAATCTGGCTGGTATGTGAAGAATCAAGTATAAGGGGCAATGATAGAAGCAGGGAGAACTGCTAGGAAGCTGTTATGACAATCTAGGCAACAAATGCTTTGGATCAAAGTGACAGCAATAGATGTATTGAGAAGTGGTTGGATTCTGGAAGTATTTCAAAGGACAGAGTAACAGAATTTGATGATGGATTGGATCAAGGTCAAAAAACAAACCAACCAACCCTCAAAGGTATTTTGGCTTAAACAATTAGAAGAATGGAAATTCCATTTGCTTAGATGGGGAAGAATCTGGAAAGAGTATTGGCGGCAGAAGTTGGGAGTGGGAAGGGGAGAATCAAAATTTCACTTCAGACATGTTATTTCTGAGATGCCTGTTAAGACTGTCAAGTAGATAGTTCGATAATAGGAACCTGGAGTTAAAGAAGTTATGGCTGGAGATATACATTTGGAAATTTTCAACACATAGTCTATAAAGCAATCTGACTGGATGAGCGCACCTAAAAATTGAGTTATGATAGAGGAGAGATCTGATGATTGACTTCTAGGGTTCTCCAATGTTAGGAGGTCAAGAAGACGAGAATGGAAAAGGCCAGTGAAGCAGGAGAGATGAGTGCGGTGTCCTGAAAGCCAAGTGAAGAAAGTGTTTCAAAGCGTGTCATATACTGTTGATAAACTGAGTGAAACAGCCCTCAGAATTGACTTTTGGGTGGCCATTGGTGATGCTGATGAGCTATTTCAGTAGAGCAGGGTGATAAAACCTGATTGGAATGGGTTCAAGAGGATGAATAAGAGAAAGTGGAAATAGTATGTATGGGGGATGTGGGGATGTGTGGTCAAAGAAAATTGTTTGATATTTTTAAGAGATGAGGGACATTACAGAAAATTTATATACCAGTGGGTATGACTCAGAGAGAAAGGTTTTGATGCTGGAGAAAGAGGACAATTATATATGTATATGTATAATTGAATCACTTTGAATCACTTTGCTGTACACCTGAAACTAACATAACATAAAATCAACTATAATCCAATATAAAATAAAAATTAAATTAAAAATTAAAAAAAGAAAGAGGACAATTAAAGGAACAGGAGCATGTATTTGAAAAAGCAAAAGGATATGGATCCAGTGCACCAGAGGCAGAAGAGCAAAGTAGCAACAGGATTGGTACACTTATTAGGCACTTAGCTCCTGTGTGCCAGGAACTAAGTAGTTTTACACTGATTAATTTACTTAATCCTTTTTTTTTTTTTTTTTGCGGTACGCGGGCCTCTCACTGTTGTGGCCTCTCCAGTTGCGGAGCACAGGCTCCGGACGCGCAGGCTCAGCGGCCATGGCTCACGGGCCTAGCCTCTCCACGGCATGTGGGATCTTCCCGGACCGGGGCACGAACCCGTGTCCCCTGCATCGGCAGGCGGACCCCCAACCACCGCGCCACCAGGGAAGCCTTAATTTACTTAATTCTTATAACAACCCTAAGAGGATCATTCATTTTTCTTTCCACTTTATAAATAAAGAAATTGAGGAATGGAGAGGTTAAACAGTAGGTATAGGAGCCAGAACTTCACCCAAGCAGGCAAACTCAAGAGCCTATGCTTTTGGACTTCCCCGGCGGCACAGTGGTTAAGAATCTGCCTGCCAATGCAGGGGACACGGGTTTGAGCCCTGGTCCAGGAAGATCCCACGTGCCTAGGAACAACTAAGGCCGTGTGCCACAACTACTGGGCCTGAGCTCTAGAGCCCGCAAGCCGCAACTATTGAGCCCATACGCCCTAGAGCCCGCGTGCCTAGAGCCGATGCTCTGCAACAAGAGAAGCCACCACAATGAGAAGCCTGCGCACCACAACGAAGAGTAGCCCCCGCTCACCGCAACTAGAGAAAGCCCACGCGCAGCAACGAAGACCTAACGCAGCCAAAAGTAAATAAATAAGTAAATAAATTTATTTTTAAAAAAAAAAGAGCCTATGCTTTAAATACTATGCAGGCAGGGACAATGACAACATGAAATAGAGCACAAGAGTAGTAATCAATTGTCTTCCTGAGAGAAAGACCATTAAGTGTTGCTGTCGAGAAACTATAGCTGCTTTTATACTTCTAGAGTCCCTCTGTGTCCTGAGCAGGGATAAATGGTGTTCGGTTCTTTTACAGGCCTAATTATATGGCTGCTGAGAATTGTCTGCTCCTCACAAGATAATAGAGCAGGACTCTTACCAGCTTGGAGTAAAGCAGGACAGCTATCTCCCTTGTTCTGCACACTGTAACTTAAATTATGTAACCCAGGATTGCATCAGCCTTTCCGGCAGCCACTCATATGCAGTCCCATTTTCGGATCAGTCTTTTGCCCACATACGCTGTTTTTTGGACCCCAGTACTTTTGATATTTATACTTATTTAAATTCATTTGGTTATTACTCCTTTCCACTGCTGCTGCAGTCAATAATGCCAAAAGACAACTTTTAAACATATTTAGAACAATAGCAGCATTGTTGTCACTTTAGACTCCTAAAGTGACAACTCATTTAGATATAAACATTTGGATGTGTTAAAAAATTCAGTCACTTTCACAGAATCAACAGACACTATCTATATTTGATAAGAAGGTATAAGCATACTGTTTAAAGCAGTGCTTCTGAAGCTTCAGTTATTTATTTATATATCACATACATGATATTCATGTATCACCTGTATTAGTATTTATTTAGTATTTGTCTTTGACTCACATTTCCCCATAGTCTAGTAAGTAGACACATTATGTATTTTTCTAATGTACATCCAAACCTTATATATATATATATATATATATATATATATATATGTTTAAAGATAATGTTTACCCATGTATCACCTGAAATCATTTTGGGTACCACTAGTGATATATGTACCACATTCTGATATATATATATGGAAATAACTTACAGAAAAATAAAAAGAGATTGCCTCTGGATGTGGGACTGAGGCCTGGAGAGATGTGGTTTTCATCAAAAGTACCTCCATAATACAAGATTTGTCACCATATGTATATATTGTTTTACTAAACATGAAACATTTAAACTAAGTAAAACAAACAAAAATTCTATTACACTAAGTCACTTGGTACACTTCCTGGTACAATGTAACTATTCAAAAATATTTCTATATTTCATACCTTTTCCTACTGATTTTTTAAGTTCAATCACATACTCATGTCGCTCAAAACTGACATTCACGGATATGACTTCATTCATAAAATCTGAGGAAAAAAGACAGTTAACTACTACAAAATGAAAACTTTCAATGTTTTATTTTTGACTGCAGCTGTTTACAGAAATATAGTTGCAAGTATACAAATGTTCCAATAGAAGCAAAATATCTTTTTAATATTTAACAAGTTATCACAGATAGCTAAAAACATAGATGCAAATGAAATTCCCTCAGAGAATAAACTGAAAATATCTGGTGTCAGTGCTCTGAAATCCCAACTAAGAAAGCCATATACACAAAAATGTAACCCTTACTTACATCATTGCAGGACAATGGAAGAAGGCAGTTCAGTGGTTGATCAGTGTGCTCAAGCAAATAAAATTAAATTAAAAAATTAAATGGCAGAATGGTAGCTAAACCACTTGAGAACACGTTAATAACATAACTGTAGTATATTCATTAAAAGACTAAGTAAAAGAAATGAATGGAACAGTAAAAATTGTCAAAAAAAAGTAATACTTGGAGCTTATCAATTCAATGTAAGGGAACAAGGTGAGCAGATACATTCATTAGATCAAAGGAAATTAGCTCAATATCATTGGAATCAGTTTGTCGCTATGAAAGTCATAAACACTTCCATGCAGGACAGTTCTTTATTGGACAGTCTGATTCCAAAGCCACTCTCAAACATCTGAGATGTGTGTGTGTGTGTGTGTGTGTGTGTGCTGTCCTGAGGTTCATTAGCTAAAATAATAATAATAATAATACAAACTATTTCAAATCAGGCAAGTTACTTTTGGAAAAAAAACAGAACAAAACAGGGTGATACGGTTAAACACAGAGCCTTTAAAGGAAATATTACAAGTTGGAGTTGAACAGAATTGTGGTATGGTATAATGCTTTGGATATACAAATACAGTATGCAATAAAGCGGGGAAGAGGGGAAGGGGAACAAGAAAGGAGGAATGTAGCTAGAGCATCTCCCAACAGCTTGCCTATGTATTCCAGCACCAAAGTTTGCAGAGTAAGCCACTTGTATTTCCACTGCTAGTTTTAAGCAAAGACAGCAGTGGTGATTTTCATAAAGTGAGTGTACAATTATTTTCATTTTGAAATGTTTACTTTTCTTACATGAGTTTATTAATTGGTGATTTGTAAACACCAACAATTATGGAGGTACTGAATTATACAGGGAGATTAAAATGAATGATTAAATCTACTTATCTAATGGTTAGTTTACATTTAACAGGATGCATATAACTGGGAAGGGAGAAATGCTCAAATTAAATAATACAGTGTCTTGTTTAACATCTTGTCTGAAGCATAAGTTCCAAGGATAGTTATATTTCTAGTGCATCAATTCTCATACAAAGCAAGCTATTTTAAAAGAAGATTTATCTATTAAAAAAAGAAATTAAATAAGATGCTTTGTTGACCTGGCTAGCTATGTTGTTTAATAGCTCAGATACAAATGTAAATATAAGGAATGACAAATAATTTTGTTCTGAGAGTTGGTCTAGATGGGCCAAAATTGTGGTCTGCTGGTAAAGTAAGAGGCAATGAAAAGAAAGCTTTTATTATCACTGCCCACAATGTATCCATTTTATGGATAGCACCCGTCAATTGTATTAGCTACTTAACTGTCATAATAGTTAAAATAAACACAGAACATTGCACCTATATATTTAAATCAGTCATTTAATGTAAACTTTTTAGTAAGTGGTATGAAAATGCCAAACTAAGTTAACTGAATTATCAATAACTAGACTAATTGTATATGTACATAAAATATACTGTATTTCTATAGGCAGTACTGAGAATAAATTATCATTGCCAATAAATGATTATAGATAACCAGGTTAAATTGAATTTACATTAAAAACAATGTATAACTGTGTCTGTGTGAGTGGGAAAAAAAAGCCCTTTCTAGATCTTACTGTATACAGTTTACACCAGTGGTTCTCAAAGTTTAGCATGTATCAGAATCACCTGAAAGGCTTGTTAAAAAACAGATTGCTGAGTCCCACTCCAGAGTTTCTGATTCACTATGTCTGGGATAAGGCCCAAGATTTTGCATTTTTAACTAGTTCCCAGGTGATACGGATGTTGGCTGGTGGGCTGAGGACCACACTTTGAGAACCATTGGTTTATACATACTATAGATATAGAAAACTATATACTATAATGCTATTAATATGAAACAAAAAATATAGGAAGAGGGCTGGTTGTAATTAACTCTCAAACATATCATTAGAAAGCCGAACATTTTAATGTTTCTAAAATGATTTTCTGAAGTGTAATAATTTCCCCTTATAGTCAGTTACATTTCAAAGTCTTAAGTCCTACTATACTTTTTAGAAAATATTTCCATAACATACCAAGTTGGCTATCCAAAATAAAAAGGGACATAAATATTCTAAACAGTTAAGATATACTCATCAAGAAGGAATCATAACTATACAGCATTCTTGACTTCTTTGGAATGATTAAAGTGCATAATATCATTAGGGTATTGAGAATATTGCATAAAGGTTTGCAGTCTTTAGTGCCACTAACAGTCACAGAAATACTCACATGGGGAAAGCAGCTCTATCCCTAAGCTACTACTCTCCTGACCTGTTTGTTGCTGATGGCTCTTTCTTCAGGCACCACCACTATGGTAAGGAGCTGGAACATAGGCAAAATTAACAAAAAACAGAGGGATACTCAATCCAACTGTATTTGGCTGCAAGGAATTATTTTAGTTCTGGAGGGACTCAGATACAACTTCATTTCCTTTGACACTATTTTTCATAGGCAGATTTCTAAAGTTCTGATGGACGAGAAGTACACTATAATGAATTATTTGACTCCGTATGGTTAGAAAAATTGACATTACTAAGCTTTACCTAAACTATGTGTTAGTGGTTTATTTTCACCCATCTTATAATAAAGATCAGAGAAGGTGCTTCAAACACTTCCTTTCTGAAATTTAACTATCCATATTTGTGTACATAGTCTCACATACAGTAAAATTTTCGATAGCATTCAGATAAGACCTATTATTAGTTGGTCAAGATGAAGACAA